ATGGTTAGCAATTAGAGGTCCCATCACTGATAAAGAACTGATATTTGTTATTTAATATGTTTCAGGACAACGTTAGCTCACAAGTTAATAGAACCATAAATATTTACATTTGCCTTCAAACTCCATGTGAAATGTTTATACTTTTACTGGTATTATTCTTAGCTGGAAGCTAGCATATTAGCTAAACGTGCGCGTTTATGATAAGCAAACTCTCGTCAAACTCGTAAGCTAATATCGGCCATGATCTCTTCAACACCCAGCTAAGATACAACAGTATTTACATTGCCGTTCCTTGGTTTATGCTTATTCTTATAGATCTTGGCTTCAGAGTACTTTTCCATCGTTTCCAAACAATTTCGAACTTGGCTGGATAAACACTGGCTGTTGCTTATCGTCTACACTATTCAGACTAACCCTAACCAGAGAGAGTTATTTTGCTGGCTGTTAGGTCCATATAGTGAAAAACAGTGACCGAGGTCTTGAAAATTCTCCCCGAGGCTAGGCCGCAGGCCAAGGGCAGCATTTTTAAGGCCGAGGTCATGGTCTTTCACTACACGTACCGACCCTAAGCCGGCAAATAACTTTTTTTTTTCTTCGCTACGGTAAATTGGTTTTTTAAAATTACAAACGGCTTTGTTCACGCAACGTTGTCATTGAATCGGCTTACGTGCCGTCTACTAACGATTTGTAAAAAAATCTTCGCAAGCGAGTAACACCGATACTAGACAAAGAAAGATGTATTGAAGAGCAGATTTATTTCGAACTACTTTATGTAAGTTGTATTTATTTCACCATTTAAGTTGTCCAAAATTGTTTTAGTTTCGTGCAAATTTTGAAGTCTTACTACAAAAACAATTTCTGTCAGTCGTTGCTATTAAAATCACTTAAAATCAGACTTTTCTACCGTAAATTGAATAGCAGAAAGCGAGAAAATTCGTTAAGTGTATTGTGTATTCGTTAAGGATGTTAAGTGTATTGTTGTAGCGGAGGTTTGACTGTATTCCGCAGAAATTTTCT